GCATTCTCTCACTCACTCACTCACCTCACCTCCACACGCATTCTCTCACTCACTCACTCACCTCACCTCCACACGCATTCTCTCACTCACTCACTCACCTCACCTCCACACGCATTCTCTCACTCACTCACTCACCTCACCTCCACACGCATTCTCTCACTCACTCACTCACCTCACCTCCACACGCATTCTCTCACTCACTCACTCACCTCACCTCCACACGCATTCTCTCACTCACTCACTCATTCACTCACCTGCTTCTACATCTTTCACACTTCTCTCTCCATCACACTTCTCCTCTTACAGCAAAGCCTCTAAACAAATATGAATCACATTTTCAGGATCACACAACACTTCTTGAGTAAACAATAAGGAACAGAGCCATACTAGTCACACAGTTTCTCTCAGGCTAGGGAAGTCATGCTGACTGAGCATGGTGAGTAAAGTAAGCATGTAGCGCTAAGTGGTTAGCGTTCCCAGACAGAGAATGACATTGAAATGCAGGGCTTAAACAATAAACAGTTGACTGGACCTTGAATGGTTAGGAGTACGTGCAGAAAGTCAATTACTGTAGGGGGTTATGTCTACCAAAGTTGCCTAACCCTAAACCCTAACCCTAACTTTGCCTGACCTTGATTCAGCAATGAACATCTGGGAACTTGTCCTTGTGTATTCGTCTCCAGGGGCAACCAGTGTATTTTCAATTTGCTCTAAAGTCTAAAATCAGCTAAATGTGTAAAAGGCTGTCTTTGTAGCTGAGAATTTTCCTATGTCAGTCTGAGTAATGAAAAATGTCCTAGTATTATTTCTGTTCATCAGAATTACATATCTTAAGCAGAAATCAGCTATATGCATGACCCATTGATGAAATATATAAATACATACATACATACATACATACATACATACATACACACACACACACACACACACACACACACACACACACACACACGGCAGATCTCTGTGAGTTCGAGGCCAGCGTGGTCTACAAGAGCTAGTTCCAGCCGGGCGTTGATGGCGCATGCCTTTAATCCCAGCACTCAGGAGGCAGAGGCAGACAGATCTCTGTGAGTTTGAGGCCAGCCTGGTCTCCAGAGTGAGTGCCAGGATAGGCTCCAAAGCTACTCCGAGAAACCCTGTCTCGAAAAACTAAAAAAAAAAAAAAAAAAAAAAAAAAAAAATCAGACATGCAGAGAATAATTTTGTCTTTGACTTTGAGGACTAGAAGAATGATTCACATTTAAGCCTGACAACCTGAGTTCAATTCCTGGAATCCACATAGAGGTGAGAGGGGAGAACCAACTCTACAGAGTTGTCCTCTGACCTCCACATTCACACCAAAGTTCATGCACGCACGCACTCGAGCACACACACACACACACACACATACGTACATACACACACATGCGCACACACACACGCGCGCTAATAAAATGTATTTTTAATTAAATAAGAAAAAAGATGTTACCTGGGTGGAATGCAGGCCTCCACTGCTTTCAGACTAATATTCCATAAAGCCAGTTTTTCTACCCAGCATCACTGAGTGCAAAAACCATTTTGCATTCCTCCTCCCCCAACACCCACTTACTCTGCCTTCCCTGCTCTTCCACTACAGACCTGCGCCTGCGGAATGGTGAAGACCCTCGCAGTGTTCTCTGTGAAGCTCAGGAGACAGTCATGCTGGAGATCCAGGAACAGATCAATGACTATAGGTTTGTAGAGCTCCTCCCTTAGTGTTCTGTGTGCCTCTGGAGTGTGTATCTGAATTTCCCTTTTTGTGAATACACATGTTCAGTCTGATACTTGTTTCCTTTTTGTATCTCTGGCATAGATCAAAGCGCACCCTGGGGCTGGGCAGCCTCTATGGTGAGAATGACCTGCTAGACCTGGATGGGGACCCTGTTAGAGAGCGCCAAATGGCGGAGAAGCAGCTGGCTGCCCTTGTAGATATCTTGTGAGTTTTCGATTTTACTGTTACCTCTGAACTTCCCAGACAGGCTGGCAGATCTTGTAGGACTGTTTTCTACCTTCTACTTCTTGAATGATCTCTTTCACCAAAAGACAGGAGACCTGCATGTCTTGTGCTGAGGGCCCCACTTTCAAGCCTAGAGCTGCTGACAGTTCACTGGTAGTTGTAACATGCAAGGCTCCAAGAGTACAGTGAGCTTTCTGCTTCCCTTTTCTAGCCCTTTCATGATCTTCCTCCTTCTTTGCCTCTGAGTTTATGGCTGATACTCAGAGTGAGACTGCACCCCTGCCGTGGGAGTGAAGTGTTCAGGAGGTGGTCAGACTGGCTTAAGGAAAGCAGCCATTTTTTCACAAGCATAACAGAAAACTAGAGCACCTTCCTGGGAGCTTTAGCACAGCTGCTCCTGCTGTGCTTCTCCAGTTATAAGTGGGTGTGAATGTTACAGATCTGGAACTGCAAAGGTACCTTGACTTAACAGGAAGCCAGGCTACACCTAGAGCTGCAATAGGGACAGTGTTGAGGATAGAGCCACAATAGGACAACTCTGGAGGCTGGAGCTGCAATAGGACATCTCAGCACTGGAGGGAAAGTTATCCTGACTTGTTGGAGAGTCAGGTGATACCCAAAGCTGGAGTGCAGTGGGGGATGGTCTCCCCGCAGGATATAGCAGTCCTGCTCCTCTCTTTGAGAGAGCCAGTACAGCTGAGCTGTGTTCTGTTGCCCTAAGGGAACATCCTAGCAGAGCTATCCACAGCAGCCTCTCCTGCAGCCCAAGATGTTACTTCTTCTGCTACACTCTGCTAAGGGGAAAGCTGCTGCAGAAATTTCCTGCTCAGTCCCCTAAGGGACATCTCAACAAGGTTCTTCTATTGCATGGCGAATAAAGATCTTCACTCAAGACTCTTTTGAGAGAGAGATTTGGGAAGAAGGAGTCCAGGAAAGCGGCTGCCTCTTTCCAGGGTGGGAAAGCACAGCCAACAACTGAACAGGCAGAGGGCTTATATAGACCTTCTTAGGGGCAGAGTTTTTCCCAAGGAGTTTTTCTGCTCAGAGATTGGTTTGTTTAGTTGGTCAAGAGCAGAGTTGGCTCTGGTTTCAGGCCAAACTGTTTCACTGGCCCTTTTTAGCTTTGTTGCTCTATTTTTAGGGCTAAGGTGTATTTCTTTTACTGGCTCTGGTTCTAGGGCCAACATGTGTTTCTTTGGCTCTGGTTTCAGAGTCAGTGCTTTTCTTTGGTTCTGGGTTCAGAGATAAAGTGTTTCACCGGCTCAGGTAACACGAGGGGGCAGTTCAGTGGGGAAGATTTTAGTCTTAGCAAGTGAGGAGCTGTTGGAACTACAGGAGGCTGCACTGTGGGTAGAAGAGATGGGAAGCTAAGAAGTTCAGTTGCAAGGCTCCCCAGAGGAATCCCCACAAACAGTAGTAAAGCAATAGCCATGAAAGCTGTGAGAAGAGTTTAGATGGTGGAGTTGAGGGATAGAATCGTTAAGAGAAATTCCTAAAACTTGAGTGTGGGGTATGAAAGAAAGTCAAAGGAGAGATTCCAGGAATTTCTTCCCAAAGCACTTTAAAGACCATCAGTCACTAGTTTTGGACATGTGAAGTCTGAGATTTCTTTGACATATCAGTCTACAGATATGAAGAGACAGCCTCTTGTGTGAATCTGTCTTGTGGTGGCAGATCTGTACTAGCAAGAGCTTGGGTTACAGCTCAGTGGTGGGCAGTTGCCTAACAAGCACAAGGCCCTGGGTTCCATCTCACTAAAAAATAAAAAAAGCCAAGCCTGGTGGCACAGGCCTATAAACCCAGCTACTTTGAGAGGCTGAGGTGCCAGGAGGTGATGGTGCATACCTTTAATCCCAGCACTTGGAAGACAGAGGTAGGTGGATCTCCATGAGTTCAAGGCCAGCCTTGTCTACAAAATAAATTCCAGGACAGTCAGGGCTACACAGAGAAACCCTGTCTTGGAAAAAAAGGGGTGGGGTAAGGGCTGAGGCAAAAATTCAAGACTTCCCTGGGCTTCTGCGTGAGTTTAAAGCCAAACTCGGTAGGATCAAGATTAAAAAAAAAAAAAAAAAAATTTAAAGGCAGAGGATATAGCTCTCTGAAGTAAACTGTAAACTGATTGCCTAACATGTGTAAGATCCTAGGTTCAATCCCCAGTACTAATCCAGTACTAATGAATAATAAAGAAAGAGAAAAAGAGACATTGAGAGGGAGAGGAGGGCGGGATAGGAAGTCTGGATTATAAAGAAAATCACACAGAAAGCATGGCCTTTGCAATCCAGCCTCCTGGCCTTCAGTAGTAAGGTGGCAGGAATTACTTCTGGGATGCAAGCAGTACCTGACTGAGCCTGTTTGGAGATTCTAAGAACCCAACTTACAGTAGTTTCTATTTTAAAGTAATATAATTTGTTCTTACCAAATTGGAGCCTTCTTGTGGGTATTTTGAAAATTAAATGGGTTTTGTGTAACTAGTTTATAAAAATGTTTGGCCCATAGTAATACCCAAACATTGTTTGCTACTGCCTGGACCAGGTCTCCAGGTTTCATCTTGTCCTCCTGATGACTTTGTGCTTTGACACAGAGAACAGACACTAAATTTGCTGTGTCATCATTGTCATTTCCAGTTGAATCCTTGAGAAAATAAAAGTTCTCACCTCCTGAGCTTCAAAGACTCCAGAACTATGACCTTGTATCCCCTACCAACCCTCCTCTTTCCTCCAAGAAAGAACTTCCAGCCTCTGCCCAGAGCATAGTCTGTCTCAAGGTCTGAGTCATCTGTTCTTTCATTGCAGGTCCAAGTATGAGGAAGACCGGAGGTAAGCAAATCCATGGTGTGGTTCATTTGCAATGTTCAAGGTGGGAAGAAGTAGGGTTGAGCTCTCCTGTGCTTTTCATTTCTGCTACCCACAAGAAAGTTGTAACATTACAGGACATGAGTCTGTGAAGGGTTAGTTCCCAGGCAGGTAACCATGGCATGTAAGACTTAGAAGGTCCAGATCCTTGATGCATAAGGACCACTGCCTGGTATATGGGTCTGCTCCTTGGTATGACAGGCTAACCCTCAGCTCCTGACTTCTCTGACCTGCTTCTGTATGTCTTCCCACAATACCCCTGAGTCTCCCTTCCCACCTCTTTCCCTGAAGAGAGATTTCACCTCCCAAGAAAATAATGGTGTCAGAATCAGTCTGTGATGGTGGCACCAGCAGAGAGAAAACATCTCCTTTCTTGGCACTTTTTTTTTTTTTGATCCTACATATTTTTTTGATCCTCATACATAAGGCCAATGCCTTATTATTTTTTGTTAGCTTAAAGTGTGTCTGCATTCCCTGCCTGCATATGCTTTGTAAGGGAAGAGATGGGCCACGAATCCAAAGTGGAAATGCTACTGTACTAGCTCCATAGAACAGATCATCTGTCTTCTGAATTGCAGGCCGAATACATTTTGAGCACAGAGCTCTGGACAGTTTCATTTGTTTGTGGCCATTAGAAGTACCATGACAACCCTTTCCTCTCTTTTTCTCTTTGTTCTCAGGGAGTGGGGAGGTGACGGCAGTATGCCTACTTTAAGTACCTGTGTGTGTGTCTGAGGGTGTTGGTTACAGACTTAACCTGTCCTCCAGGCCTTATATTTTAGGAACTTTGTGTTCCCATCCCCTGACCAATAAAGAACTTTTGGCCAGCTTCTAACTGCTGTCACATTTAGCCATCCAGACTTCACTTTGAATATGTTAGCTCATAACTACCCCTCTCCTTCTCCATGGGATGACTGTGAGGAGATTGTCCTGAGCTGGGTTTTGGTCCTTCATCTTTTTATTAGGAAGCATTACTTGGCCTTTCTGGTTCACAACACTCCTGTCTTACAGTGCTCCCATGGACTTTGCCCTTAATACCTACATGAGCCATGCTGGGATCCGGCTTCGGGAGGCAAGACCCTCCAGCACAGCAGAAAAGGCCCAGTCTGCTCCTGACAAGGACAAGTGGCTGCCTTTCTTCCCTAAGACCAAGAAGGTAATAGAACTGCCCTAGAATATAGCTGACTTGGAGCCATCCTCCATGCTGAGGTAGGACAGCAATGCCATTCCACAGCTTTCCAGCTACATCCCCCTCCTTTCTTCACCCCAACCACAGTGGAACATGTCCATTAGGATGTAAACTTGAGTTAGTTTTCCAGCCACTTGTTTAGGGCCAATCTTGGGAAGAGGCAAGAATGATTAGCAGTCATGTCTGAATGTTGGAACCACCTCAAAACTAGTGTCTCCTTTCTCAGCAGAGCAGTAATTCCAAGAAAGAAAAGGATGCCTTGGAGGACAAGAAGCGGAACCCCATCCTCAGATACATTGGAAAGCCCAAAAGCTCTTCTCAGAGCAGTGAGTATTTTGGAGAATAAAAGCCTTGGTCATTCTTTGGTAGAGAACTGAGTCCTTCACCTACACAGGAAGTAGAAGGACTTGCTGTGTTTCTGGGAGCCAAGGGTAGTACTGCTGCTCTCTCCCTCATGCCATGTCTAGTGCAGTCTCATTGGGGTGAGGTGAGTGTCTCAGAGCCAGGGGGCTGGTACTTACCCTTGGGTCTTAGTCTGGGAACTTGAAAACAGTTGTAGCTCTGAATAGTTCTATGGAACAGCATCTGCCTTGAAAAGACTGCCCAAGTGATCTGTAGTTCCCGCTTTGTCTCGTCCCCAGGATTTATGTATACTCCTGTGATTTTGTGTGTTGGGCCCTTGATGAAGGGTTTGAATGACTGCTATAGTAGAACTGGCAGGGGTAAGAGCAAGCTCCAGCCACTAAAACTAATGACCCCTCCATTGGTTTCAGCCGTGTGTCTAGAAATGGTCAGTATTTTCAATCCTGAGTTTCAGTGGAAATTTGAATAGTGTTTTGGCCTGCATTGGACTTGGTGACATTGGGGAAGGGCAGAAGAAGGAACTCTTCCAGATCTATTTTGGTTTTTGTTACTACCTTTACATTTTCTAGCTTGATACAATTTTTATTTTGACTCTTGCAACATTAAATTGACTTTTCATGGTTTACTTTTGTTTTTGTTTGTTTTTCTTTTAGCATTTCATATTCCCTTGTCCTCTGTGGAAGGTAAAAGGACCATTTTCTTTGGATTTATCTTCTCATTAGCATCAATTTTCCACCTCCAAGTTTTTGTTGTCCCTTTTCCATGTGGTCCTATTCAGTGTCTCCTTCCCTCCTCCTTTTCTTCTCTCCATCTCTTACCTATTCCTCCTTTCTGCCACAGGTTCTCTGTGACTCAGACTGCTGGGGTCTCTCATCTTCCCTGTGTTAGCTGCCAGATCTTTTTACCATACCTGGTTTCTTCGGGGTGCGAACCCCCTTCCCCTCAGGCTGGTTTTCCTTGAGGCTCTGACAGAGACCAGCCTTCTTGGCAGCAGCCTCCCTGCGGCCCTAGCCTTTGCTCTTTAAGGTGTGTTAGTTAGCCTGTTGTTGCTGTAACAAAATATCTGAGATAAACAACTTAAAAAGAGGAAGTGTTTATCTGGGTTAATAGTTTCAAAAGTTTCGATCCATAATCACTTGGCCCCAGTTGCTTTGTGGAATGGTAAGAAAATACATTGTAGCTAGGCAGCACACCTTTACCCCAGCACTCAAGGCAGAGAAAGGAGTATCTCTGTGAGTTCGAGGTCAGCCTGGTCTACAGCATGAGTTCCAGAACAGCCAGGGCTACACAGAGAAACCTTGTCTGGAAAAAAAAGGAGGGAAGAGAGGGAGAGACAGACAGACAAGATACAAACAGAGAGAGGGAGAGAGAGAGAGAACATTGTAGCATCAGTGTGTGGCATGTGGCAAAGGAAATCTGTTTAACTCATGAAGCAAAAATAAGGTGCTGAGGTACAGGTATCTTTTTCAAGGGCATGCCTCTCTCCTTGCGACCTCCTCCTAAAACACTTAACTACCCCCAATCCCACCATTAGCTGGGACCTCGCCATCAATATGGAAGCTTTTGGGAGACACTGTATGTGCAGGAAACCCCATTAGACTGCAGCAGTGTGTCCTGCAGGGAGATAGAAATAGGAATGCTTTGGGGTTTCATTGACAATTAAAATAATAGGGGCTGGAGAGATGGCTCAGAGGTTAAGAGCACCGACTGCTCTTCCAAAGGTCCTGAGTTCAATTCCCAGCAACCACATGATGGCTCACAACCATCCGTTATGAGATCTGATGCCCTCTTCTGGTGTGCAGATATACTTGGAAGCAGAATGATGTATACATAATAAATAAATAAGATCTTTAAAAAATAATTATTATTATTATTTTTCAGGTTTTTTCTAATTAAATTACAAGTTGCTAAATTTAATTACAATTATAAAGAAAAATATGATTTTTCTTTTATCATTTCCCCTTTTCCTGCTTAGGCTCTTCAAAGTAGTGAAGGAGGATGTTGAGCTGGAAACCAGACTTGGCTACATATTTGAGTCAGTAAAGGACTTGGCACAAAAAATGAGAACTTGAATTTGTTCCCCTATACTCATAAAACCACCAGGTGTGTTGGGGCTGGAGAGATGCTCAGTGGCTAAGAACACTGGCTGCTCTCCCAGAGGACCCAGGTTTGATTCACAATGCATCTGAGGCCCTCTCTGGTCCCTACTGGCAATAGGCACCAAGTGGTGAAGAGATATACATGCAGGCAGAGCACCCTGTATTTAAAAGATTTAAATAAATCTTTTAAAAAGCCAGGTATAGTGGTGTGCATGTGTAATCCCATCAGGAAGAGAACACAGAGGGCTCACTGACCAGTCAGCCCAGCTGAATCAGCAAATTCCACATCAGTGAGACGGTATTGGGGCGGGTAGTCATTTCCTGAGGAATATCATTTAAAGTTAGGCTGCATACACACATACTTTAAAAACAATAATTGATATAGGGCTATGGGGGTGGCTCCATAGAACACATGATTAGCATGTGTAAAGTCCTGGCTTTGATCCCCAGCATAGCAAAAAAAATAATAAATTATACATATTAACCCATAAGAAACTTATAGGCTACATCAGAATGTCACAGAATCAGGCAAATTTATTTCCATCAGTGAATCCATGTATATAAAGTTAAATGGTGTTTTCAAATTTTATATGGTGGCTTACTCCTGTAACCCTAGAACTTGGAAAGTAGAAGCAGGAGGATTAGAAAATCAAGATCAACCTCAGTTCTACAGTAGTTTGTACATGGAAAGAGAATAATGGAATACAGTCTGGAAATTCTGTTACTAGAACCCATTTTTTGTAAAAATAGCATTTTAAAATAGTATCGTTGGACTTATTTTAAGTTACTGTGGCTTATCATGCTATCTTAAGCTATAAAAAATAATTCTTGAAAAAAAAAAAGTTTTAGTGGAGGAAAAGCAAAAGAATAGCCCTGAAATCCAGGCCCATCGTTGGAACTAAGCTACTCTACCATTGAGCTGCATTCCCAGCTCCAGGCTCATAGCTGCCAAAATCTGTTTCTCACTTACCCTGCCAAGGAAAGTATGAGGCAACGACAGGTTGTAAGGGGCTAAGCAGCTCCACTAAAGGAGCTCGCTTTGTGTCAGCTTGAGAGAACACAAATGCCCAAGGTGGAGTAAGGTTTCTGAGCCCAAGAGAACAAGGTAAAGATGCCAAGGGTCTACATGCTCTCCTTTTTCAAGATTTTTTTACCATTATTTTTAATTTACCATTATTGTATGTGTGGGTATGTGAACATGAATGCCAGTGACTGCAGAGGCCAGAGGAGTTGGGTCCCCTCGAGCCAGCCGCCTGGTGTCATTGCTGGCAATCACACTCTGTTCCAGTGGAAGAGCAGTGCAAGACTGTTACCATGCTGGGCCTCTCCAGCCCCATGCCCCATCGATGTGCTCCTTAATTCATATTTTATCACTCTGATTACTTGATTTGATTTGGCCTTCTAAAATTCCTAAGACATAAAACACCCACTACTAGATAGGTTCCATTGACACTTAAAATCACCAGCTATCACCTGTTTGTCTGGTGCTAGTAACAATTCATGGGAGCAGGGGGGTTATAGAAGTCAAAGGTCAACCTCAAGTGTCAGTCCTCATGAGGAATCCACCTTGGTTTTTGTGATGATCTGTCTCACTAGGACCTGGGGTTCACCAATCTGCTAGGCAGGCTGTCTCCATCTTCCTAGTACTGGAATTGCAATCACTTGCCACCACACCTGACTTTTTATGTGGGTGCTAGGGATTCGACTCTGGTCCTCACATTTATGCAGCAAGCACTTCAGTGACTGAGCTATCATCCCAGTCAACATAATTCGCTTTTTCTTAGTTCCGTTGTCATTCAGAGACTGGAGGAAAGCAAACAACAAAGTCTACTAGTGAAACTTGGCTGGGTTAAAAATGTGCTTCCTGTTTCCCATTAGGCTGAGTTATTCAGCCATAACAGATCTCAGGGTACACCTGCTTTTGCCACAGCCACACTCTGTACAGAGCACACCTAGACATTTTTCAGGTGGCCCATGAGATAGTAGATTCTGCCTCATGCTGTCAGTTATAGGATATCCCTAGGTTCTTACATAACCATTCAGACAAGTCCATTGTGGGTACACAACAGCTAATCAAATCTATAGTGACCCCCAAGCCAGAATCACATCCAGTCTAGGACAGGTCCTAGACAAAGCAAGTGATAGTAACAGCCTCTATTAAACATACACCCAGCCACTTACTTAGAAAGTCTGAGAAAGGGGCCACAGACCAATAATTTTTGCTCTCTCAGGCTTGGGAATCTTCCTGAAAAAGTCAGATTTTTTTTTGTGATGAGGGGGTCTTTTTGTTGTTTTTGGTTTTGTGTTTTGTTTTGTTTTGTTTTGAGACAGGGTTTCTCTGTGTAACAGCCCTATATGTCCTTTAACTTGCTCTGTAGACCAGGCTGGCCTCAAACTCACATAGATCTGCCTGCCTCTGCCTCCTCCTAATTGCTGGGATCAAAGGTATGCACCATCACTACCCAGCGAGGAAGTCTATTTTAGACAAGGAGTCTGTATTGTATATGTAGAATCTTTAAAGTCAGTCTCGTTGTTGCCAGTTCCAGGGATACTTACCCTGCCTCCGCCCTCTACCCAAGCCCTGCTCTGACCTCACATGACTCAGTTTTGACTTGAAGATGAACTCCTTATTGCCTCCCTGGCTCCCAGATGCTGAGCTTAGTATGAGCCCAAGGTTTCCAAGTGTTATGTCTTAGTGTCTCCTCCCTCTCTGTCCCTTGCTTGTTCTTGAACAAGACTGGCTCCTAAGCTGTCAACTTGGGAAAAGGGCTAGAGTTCAAATACCACAAAGTAATGTGTTACCTCTCTTCCTAAGAGAGGTTTCCGTCTTCCTGCTTTCTTTTTTTCTTTTTTAAGACCTGCTGTGTGACTTAAGGAAAACTTAGTCATTGTTTTCAGGTAGAGTGTGAAAAGAGGAGACCTAGAAAGAGAGAGTGTTCAGCCAGGACTAGGCCAGGTTCCCTATCTTCTGGTCCCATGCTGTTCTCATCTGTGCTTGTTCATTGCTCTGTCTTCTGGGCTAGAGGGGAGTAAGGGCCCTGGGACAGAAAGCATAGTACCTTCCTTTTCTTTTTGCCTGCAGTTAAGCCAGGCAATGTGAGGAACATCATTCAGCACTTTGAGAACAGCCATCAGTATGATGTCCCAGAGCCGGGGACACAACGACTCTCAACAGGAAGCTTTCCTGAGGACCTGCTGGAGAGTGACAGGTAGCTGGAGCTGGATGGGACCCACCAGCTGCCCAGACACGGAGCACGGCCAGGCTTCAGCACTAGGGTTTAATTCCTACTGCCTTGCTCCTCTCCACTAGACTGTGAGGCTGCAAGTAGAGCCTGCCCACCCTAGTAGCTGCAGAAAGCATAATGTATTGGGAATTAGGCCAGTGGAAGATCATGAAGGCAACCTTCAGGTGGATCCCCTAACTACTGAGCAGTTACATCCCAAAATGGAGCTCGATTATGTTATCCAGCTACCGATCAGGAAGTGCTGGGTGATGTGGATAAAGGACTTTGGAGGGGACAGAGGGAAGTCTTAGAAAATGAAACTCTGCCTGTTAAGAAGAAAACTTAAGCTAAGTGAGATGTCAAAGCACACTGTGAATCCTACCCAGCACTAGGGAGGCAGAGGCAGGAGGATCTTTGTGAGTTTCAGGCCATCCTGGTCTACCTTGTCTCTGTAATAATAATAATATAATAAATAATAATAATAATAATGCTTTTTTAAATGCTTAAAAAGGAGTTTCTGCTGACACTTTTAAAGACAAGCAGTAACTGGGAATGAGTCATCCTTCTCAACAGACTGTAGAGTCAGTTAGCTCAAGACCTTCAAAAAGAAAAGGGGGGCAGGTGTGGTGACACATGTTTGTAATCTCAGCACTCCTCAGACTGAGACAGGAGGATCACTGGGAGTCCAATGCCAGCCTAGTCTACAAAGACCCCATCTCACAAATGATGGGGACAGGGTCGGGATGGTGCTGTCTTGTTTTGTGCATCTCTGTCAGATATCGGGTTCTAAACAAGGATGTTTGTGTGGTTGTAACACATGCTATAGATTTCCTTGCTCCTGACAGGCATGACAGTAGTCATGGCTACACCAAGCTTTAGAATAAAGATTGCCTCTAGTCAGAAATGGCTGTGCAGATTCCTCAAGCCATCCTTTTGTACGGGGAAATAATCCTGTTATACAATCAAGTTTGAAAGCCACTGAGGTATAGAGGTGGGCAGGAAGGCAAGTCCAAAGGCAGCAGTGTAAATAGTCTAGCCATTTTGCCTTTGAAATAACTATCAACTCATAAGTCAGACAGTCTTGCTTGAATGCAAGTTTAATCTTTCTGTTTTATATTAGCCCTCATAGACTTAGTGTGTGTCAAAGGATTTAGCCATAGTAAGAGTTGACAAAGATTTTGGGACAGTAAACTTTAGATTTGTACTGTAGAGAGAGGTTGACTTCTAACATTTATAGGTAAATTAGATACAAATTACATAATTGCTGTGACAGGTGTGATTATTTGGATATGTCAAATATTTTAAGTTTGGGAGATGTCAATACCTTGAGAAAACATTTGAAACATATACAGACTTGCACTCTTGGCCTTGCTAGGTAAATTTGATCTACCTAAGACAGATGGCTGTCGATGCTTGGCAGGTATTGAGTGCCGAAGGGATCTTTTAGGAAGTTACAAAGCTTTGTAGCCTCTAACCCAACTGGAAGAGGTTTGTAGTGCTGACTGAGGACAGAGAAAACAATGTGAGTTGATATGGCTTAGATCTGGCTTGTTTTCAGAGATTCCTAAGGGGTAAGTTCAGGAGGACATCAGTTGTCAAGATGTTTGCAAACCCTGAAGACAAATTCAGGCCCGAAGGAGATGAGCTCTGTGTTGAATCCTCTGGCCTTTTAGAGAAAGTGTAAATGAAGATTCAAGGTACTTGGCTCCCTGTGGCAGCCGCCTGCTTTACTATTAAGCACTCTCCAGACATCTCAAGGCCTTCTGTGGTTCCAGATGTAGAACAGGATATAGATTAGCAATAATGTCAACAAAGGGCCAGCCCAGCAGGGCCTGGTGGTACATCTAGGGGCATCTAGGGGTCAGAGATGCTAGCTGTATTGAGGCCGATGTACTGCAGGACTCAACAGAAATCAGTTCTCAGTTGTCAGCATCTCACCAAGCCCTAAGGATGCTTGTTAGCCAATTAGGACAACCAGGAATGAACCCCTGCCTACTGTAACCAAGCTCTGGAAGCATCTTCCCTGGCCATTCCTCCCTGGAAAGGAACTAGAAGCTTAGGGAAGGTGCTATCAGTAGGAAAAGGAGAGATCTACATCATAGCGGGATGGAGAGTAAGAATACTAGAGCAGATATCATCTTCTGACAGGCGGCTTGGGGAATTACAGGAACCCTAAGTATACCCCCCTCAAAGAGGATGTTGTCAAGGAAAGATCCACCTCAGTCAGAATAGAGAGTAGTAGCTGGTCCAAAACAGTCAAGGTGTACTGGTCATGGGATGGCCTCCAGGGCAGTGGACCTTATGACCCCTAATGAAAGACTATGAAATCCATGTGTCTTCTGAAAGGATCATGGTGTCTTAGGCATCTGGAGACAACACAAACCTGATTCTCTTAGCCCAGCGGTTCTCAACCTGTGGGTTGCAATCCCTTTGGGAATTGAACAACCCTTTCACAAGTGTCACATATCAAATATTTGCAATTCATAACAGTAACAAAATTACAGTTATGAAGTAGCAATGAAAATAATTTTATGGTTGGGGGTCACCACAACATGAACTATACTAAAGGCTCCTGGCATTAGGAAGGTTGAGAACCACTGTCTTAGCTCCTGACTTCACCTTTCTGATAGCTCAAGGTGAAGAAGAGAAACTATCCAGTAAGCCCACCGAGGAGAGCGAAGAGTCTGTAGAGCAGCCAGAGTGGCTTGTCATTGTGCAGCTTCTGGACCCTCATGTTTGGGCCTTTCAGGGCCAGGTAGAAAACCTGTGGTATTGAGGCGCCTTTGGAGTGGGGTAATAGGTAAAAGCTAGCCACAATGTCAGATCTCAAAAGTTTCTTGTCCCTCTATGGCAGTTCTCGCTCAGAGATTCGCCTGGGCCGCTCTGAGAGCCTCAAGGGCCGGGAAGAGATGAAGAGATCTCGGAAAGCAGAGAATGTGCCCCGATCCCGAAGTGATGTTGACATGGATGCTGCTGCTGAGGCCACTCGCCTTCATCAGTCAGCCTCATCCTCTGCCTCCAGCCTCTCCACCAGGTAACTTCCATTGCTATTTAGTGTCGTTAGATACATTGTTGTTGTATACAGTATATTCAGAGCTGGTATTTTCTCCTCAGGTCCCTTGAGAACCCAACCCCTCCCTTCACACCCAAAACGGGCCGCAGGTGAGTGGTGAGCACCGTGGTACCTCTGTTTGGTGTCTCTGTGGCACTTTCACGCATCTGATGATGGCCAGATGTTTATCCATTCTCCATGGGCCTTAGACAAGCAGGTTGGATAGGAGAGTGACAGACAACCTTGAATGTAAGTTACTCACAAGTGAAACTGAGCTCCCCATTTTCCCCAGGAGCATTGAGTCCCCCAATCTGGGGTTCTGTTCAGATGTTGTCCTTCCCCATCTTCTGGAGGATGATCTGGGCCAGCTGTCTGACCTGGAGCCAGAGCCAGATGTCCAAAACTGGCAGCATACAGTAGGCAAGGACGTGATGGCAGGGCTAACACAGAGGGAGATTGACCGGCAAGAGGTCATCAATGGTGAGAACTGCCTTGCTTCCCTCATCGCCACTCATGCTTATGTGGGTAGGAGAGATTCTCCAAGGTCAACTCATTTCTGGCCTTAGCCCAAGGGTAGAGAAACCAGCACTCTACTTTCCTAAAGAGTAGTATGGTGTGTGGACCAGGGAGTGACTCTAAACCAGTGGTTCTCAACTTGTAGGTCTCAACCCCTTTGGGGGTCACATATCAGATATTTACACTACAATTCATAACAGTATGAAATTACACTTATAAAATAGCAACAAAATAATTTTATGGTTGAGGGTCACCACACCATGGGGAACTGTATTAATGGTTGCAGCACTAGGAAGGTTGGAAACCACTGCTTTAGACACTTGCTGATCTCTTTCCCCTCCCTCTCCTTGTCACAACCTCTGCTCAGAGCTGTTTGTGACAGAAGCATCCCATCTGCGCACCCTCCGGGTCTTGGACCTCATCTTCTACCAGCGCATGAAAAAGGAGAACCTAATGCCTCGGGAAGAGCTGGCGAGGCTCTTCCCTAATCTGCCTGAACTCATAGAGATTCACAGTAAGGAGCCTGCACCCCTCCCGACTCCCTCTGCCACCCTCCTCTCTATTTCATTTGGACCCCACCTCAATCCCCTAAATAAGTAACCCCACTACTCCTGAGAGAAGCTGACGGATAGCTTGAAACCAACCTCCAGATCCAAAGTAAAGGCTTCCCGACTTCTCCATTGCACTACTGTCAAAAGTGCTTTTCCTTCTAGACATAAAGTATCTAGCAGTGTGGCTCAACCCAGGCATTTCTGCTTCTTCCTTCTTACCACAGATTCCTGGTGTGAAGCTATGAAGAAGCTCCGGGAGGAGGGTCCCATTATCAGAGACATCGGGGATCTCATGCTGGCTCGGGTATGGCAAGGAGGAGATTGGAGGAAGCAAGATCCCTTTACCCAAGACTGAGGAATTTAACAGAGAAGGGGATAGTCAAGGGGGGGGAGGTAGGGGGGGTGCTGCTCCCTGACAGGAGTGTGATACCTGGACCATGTCCCGTCTGCCTCTTCAGTTTGATGGTCCTGCCCGAGAGGAACTCCAGCAAGTAGCTGCGCAATTCTGTTCCTATCAGTCAGTAGCCCTAGAGCTAATCAAGACTAAGCAGCGTAAGGAGAGCCGGTTCCAGCTCTTCATGCAGGTATCCTGGGCTGTGTCTTAACCCTCCCTCAGCTGTGTCCTACTCACCAAAAGTCTCCTAACCTCACCTGGCCCCAACCTTGTCTCTACTGAGGTGGGCACCTAGCAGTCCCCTCTACCTACCCACATCACCCACAGCAGTACTGTAAAGCGTTGCCTCTAGAGCCAAAGATCCTTTGATTGAGAAGTACTGTGGACTAGTAGGCAAAGGCCTAGCTTGACTACCAGCACTGGTGTGTGCTTTTCTGTAAAACAGGAGTGATACTGCCCTTCTGTTTTGACCATCTCTTCCTGGCAACATCAACCCCTCCCGAAATGTTAAAGGAAAAAAACTGCCACCAATTCCAAGTGACCATCCGGGGTTAGGACCTACTTGGCCTTTTCACAACCATCTTAGCCTTGACCCCTAAAGGCAGCTCCCAACTACTAGTTGACATCTTCCTCTCTCTGCTTCTTGCTATCCAGGAGGCTGAGAGCCACCCTCAGTGCCGGCGGCTGCAGCTTCGAGACCTGATCATCTCTGAAATGCAGCGGCTCACCAAGTACCCTCTGCTGCTGGAGAATATCATCAAGCACACAGAGGGTAGGGCATGGGGAGGGCTAGTGGCTTGTGGCAGCAGACATCCTTGCTTTGTCACAGTTTTGTGATCTTAGAAAGCCTAAACCTTTGAAGTCCTTAGTGTCTTCCTTGTCCTGGTACATTAAGTCTCAGAGAGGAGAATAATTGTAAATGTGTTTTGGAAATACAAAGTGCTGTACAGCAGGGAGAACAGGGCCACTACTGGCTTCTGGGCCTTTATAGAAATCAGGAAGCATAGACTCAGTGGCTGGCCCTTAGAGGCGTCTTGGCACCTCTGGGCAACTGTGAGTTCCTGTGAGGGCTATGCTGGATTTTAGACCCATTAATACCTCTGTTGGGTACCTCTGCAGTGTATGAAAGCTATAACCAGGGGACTAGCAAAATGACTCAACAGAAACCCACAGAAAAGGATGGAAGGAGAGAACCAACTTGACAAATATACACACTGTGGTGTGTGTGCATGCATGCACGCACACACATACACACACACAAAGTAAATAATCAAATATGCTAATCATATATAACTCTAGAAGAGTGATGAGCATATGCACTCTGCAGGCAGAAGCACTAACTACCACACATTTCCCCCTTTTGGTAGGTGGCACACCAGAACATGAAAAGCTCTGCCGTGCCCGGGACCAGTGCAGAGAGATTCTCAAGTTTGTAAATGAAGCAGTGAAGCAGACAGAGAACCGTCACCGATTAGAGAGCTACCAGAAACGCCTGGATGCCACTGCCCTAGAGCGGGCCATCAACCCCTTGGCAGCAGAGTTCAAGGTAGGAGGTGGAGGTTACAACACTGGCAGCCTTCTTGGGCCCTCTGAGGAGCAGAACTCAAGTCAGGGCCCAGTGAGTCTTAGAAGTAAGATACATGGACTGCCTGTGATAGGGTGGCATGGCCAGGCCCTGGAAGGCACACCCTATTAATGTCATTCATCCCTAGATGAACAAGAACAGCCCCACTAAGTAAAGACCAGATGTTGAAACTCAGCTGAAGGAAATAGAATGGGGTAGGACTTGAGGTAAAGGAGGAAATAATGTGGCAAGAATAAAGCTAAAGAAAAGGTCAGGAAAAGCAGCACTGCCTCCTTGGGAGGTTAGTGGCCAAGTGGGAATCCCAAGTCTAAGCCTTTAATATATTCCCCAGAGCATCACAGGCACAGGGCTTCCTAGCACACTTTACTTCCCTCCATCCCTGTAAGAGCTTAAAGGTAACAGTTGTTTCCTACCTGCTGATTCTCAGCACCTTCGCATAATATCCTTACACAGTAGCTTCTTAAATACTTGTTGAGTGAATGCAGTGATGATGTCTCCTTTATAGAGCCTGGATCTTACAACGAGGAAGATGATCCATGAGGGACCCCTGACCTGGAGGATCAGCAAAGATAAGACCCTGGGTATGTGCCAGGGACTAGAAATGGGAGGGAGCCTGTGGTAAGTGTGCTTCTCCAGGGTTCGCTCTTCTTCTCTGTTGCATGAGCTTTGGAAGTTGCTGCTCAAGTAGAATAAAGGGATGCTGGGGAGGCATACATAATGCAACTAGGATGGCACCACGGGGCCCCTTAAGCACAGTGTGGGAAGGAGGGATATAGAGACAAAAAGAGTTGGAGTCACTGGATTCCTATGGCTTGGGCATGAGCATGTAATAGCCTCTGGGTGAGTGAGCAACAGGGATTGTCTTAATTCCCAGACCTCCAGGTGCTGTTACTGGAGGACCTCCTAGTGCTGCTACAGAGACAAGAGGAGAGGCTATTGTTGAAGTGCCACAGCAAGACAGCTGTGGGCTCCTCAGACAGCAAGCAGACCTTCAGCCCTGTGCTAAAGCTCAATGCTGTGCTCATCCGCTCCGTGGCCACAGGTACCCATGAGAGATGAGCCAGCAAGCCCGGGGCTCTGGGACATGTTCACCATTTACTACCCAGTGAGCACTGGGTGATGTAGGCCCTTTCTGGGGCTTTACAAGGCTTAATGTCCTGTATTCCTTTCCTATCTTGATCTAGTCTAAGCAGGAAGACCTGGTCCAAGATGGGCAGGGTGAGGGGTAGAAAAGGGACCAAGGTAAAGATGGACAGCCTGAAGCAGGGGTGGTCAGGCTGAAAGGACCATGATGGGTAGAATGGGTGTACTGGGCGGGGCTGAGAGCATTCTGTCAAAGCAGGAATGGAAGAAAGGGAACCTAAAGAATAGGACAGATCTTGTTGCAAGAATGCCTCAGATAGAGCAGCGTTTCAGAAGAAAGCACACCTACAGCACAGATCTGAGTCCAGGAGTTTGAGGTAGCAGGGCAAAGTATGATATGAGAATGGGCAAGAATAGGCAACCACATTCTCTGGGATCACCTTCATCTTTGACACCTGACCTCCCTAAGCAGCTCAAAAAGGATGGGGTAGACATGAAAAGATTTGGTAAGTCCTAAGCACTATATGAACATCAGCCCTCAGCAGAGCAAGAGGGAAGTAGGAATGACCTAATGTCATTTGACCCTGACAAATGTCATTAGGAGACCCATAATTGCCTGTTTTTTTTTGTTGGTGAGTACCAGTTGATTCTGATGACCCAGCTATATCTCATAGTGTTTTCTTCAGGTTGGGAACCATGGCTGCTATGCCCAGTGTAGACTTTCTGCCTTCCTTTCTTCACCCAGATAAACGAGCCTTCTTCATCATCTGTACTTCGGAACTGGGCCCTCCCCAGATCTATGAACTGGTTGCATTGACATCATCAGACAAGAATATGTGAGAATTGATTGCGGGGTCCCATGTAACTTCTGTCCCCTTGGAACCAGATTGGTGTGTAGAAGGATTTGAGCAGTGAGGCCAGGGCTGGGCCCCAGAGCATTTCCTGGATGTAGGATTGAGAAGAGAAGTTAGGAAGCAACTTAGGCACAGAGCAGCAGAGGCCTTCACCCCAGGGTACAACCAGGCCTGGGCCACACATAAGAAATTCATGTATAATCCAGGCCCTGAGTCTACACAAGGTGTCTGTCTACCCCACATTTCCCAACACTGGCTGCCAATGGCACAGTGGGCAGAGACAGGTTAAATCAGACAGTTTCTTCCTCTCTGAGTTTTCATCTGTATAGTGTTATTTTGAAACCAGGGGAATGGGGTCTATCCAAGTGTTAATATCCAGTAATTGGTAGCTATGAGTCATATAAACCCAAGGGAATAGGCAGTGAGAAGTGTTGATAGATGTGGAGGCCTGTCCTTGAGACAGTACAGAGGACAGGGAGTATGCCTCACCTTATTCTCACCACTGGTCTTGTGTTTCTGCCGAGCAACAGATGGATGGAACTCTTAGAAGAAGCCGTGCAGAATGCCACCAAGCACCCTGGATCTGCCCCAACACCCATCCATCCCTCACCACCAGGATCCCAGGAGCTAGCCTACCAGGGCTCCACCCCTAACAGGTGTGGCACTTAGCCCTCCAGTTCCCAGCACCTTTCCCCATCCTACCTGCCTGTTTCTGGATGCTCCTCGGCCTTTAACCCCTGGGGTAGACAGCCTCCATGGGGAAATACCATTGGAAATAGCCCCAGTCTCTCACAGATAGTGGGATATGCCTCTGCTTCTTTGCCTTCTGTCCTCCGTCTTCCCTTCCTACTTCCCCTGCCCCTGAATCAGGGTTGTGGTGTAGAATGAAGCCAGAGAAGCTAGGCCAATGCCTACCTTCTGCTTTGCCAGCCTGTGCAGCCCATTCAGGTGATGAGGCCAGCTCCTTCTTCCTTGCACCATGTTCTTTCATTGCCTGTGAAAGATAATGAGGGGGCCAGGCAAGATTTCATGACACCTTGACCAGGCTGGCAAAGCTAGAAATTGCCACCTGGTGGGCTGCTTTAATCTTCAATGGGTTTTTTCCCCTCAGGGTAGAAATAAATGACTCAGAAGTTTACCATAATGAACCAGAACCCAAGGAACTGTCTGGAGGTAAGGCCTCTCTCCATCTTGTGGAAGACCAGCATAGTCCTATTTTTTTGTAGGTATGGGTCAGATTAAAGTGTCAGGTGATGGGAGAGTCCATCAAGGCCAAAGATGTGAGAGATACCATTTGGTAAAATGTAGAAGAGAAACTGGAGAGGGGAGTCTAGAGAAGAAACTGACAGCTTGACCAACTCACACTGACTCTGTGGGTAACAGGTTAGCAGAAGAAAGGCCCCTGCCAGCTTCAGCTAGAGGTTACTGTCATAGAACAAGATGCATACAGAGAATGAGAAGTATTAGGGTATGCATGGAGTTAAGATGTAATTTTTGAGATGAGATATAGAAGCACAGTCTTCAGGTAAATTCTCTTTGAGGTTTTTTGTTTGTTCTTAAGTAACTTAAGATCTTGAGTTTGAAGAAAAAGTTAGAGCTCCCTGCCAATATCACTCTTCTGTTTCCTTCCACTTAGAATGTCTTCCTCTGTGTCCCATACATCCTTCATAGCTTTGTTCTGGCAATTCTGTTATTGATTTTGTTGTTTATGTCAATTAATAGTATAACTAGCACTCCTAATGCCCATATCTTAATCTATTTTGTCTTTTTGTCCATAATACTCACCACCTTCTAACAAATGTCTGACTTCCTTGTTTATTTTGATGCCCTGTGTCTCTCCACTAAGACCTTAAGACTCCACCCCAGGCAGACACAAGTCTTTATTTGTATGCTGGTATGTGTCAGGGGTCTGGTGGTGCCCACAGGGGTTGCACCATGAATTTCCATAGTGCTTACCAGCCAGTGTCCCCAAGCCCAGCATCCACAGCTGGACATAGGCTCACCTCATGCATCTACTCTCTCGTGCCCCGACACACTCGTGCAAAACAGGCCCTGGGCCCCAGCAGAGAGATCAAGAGAAGCAGCTGGTAGCACAAGAAGAGCCTGAGCAGGAGGAGGATGCAGAGGAGCTGAGAGCCCTGCCTCACCCTCCCCCCTCCCTGGATGGAGGCATCAGGACAAGGGACCCTGTCCTTCTGGCCCTCACAGGCCCTCTACTCATGGAAGGACTTGCTGATGCTGCCCTGGAAGATGGTGAGTGCCTCAAAGACTCTGTCATTGGCCCCTGGTATCCCAGTAGCATAGCCAGTATGAATTCAACTTTATACCTACTCCAAGGTTCTTACTAGGTATACTTGAGGGGAACTGGATGCAGGAATGCCAGCTAGTCAAACAGAAACCCACCAGCTCCACCCTTAAGCTGCAACAGATTGACTGTGTTAGTGGCAGGAGCAATGGTAGCCCTCATCTCCCGAGCTTTCCCATTGCTAGGCTTGTGCAATCCTTCACTAGGGAGGCCATTACTCTGTCTTTTCTGCAGTGGAGAACTTGCGGCACCTGATCCTGTGTGGCCTGCTGCCTGGTCACACTGTGAAGACTCAGGCTGCTGGTGAGCCTGAGGATGACCTCACACCCACCCCTTCTGTCATCAGCATCACTTCTCACCCCTGGGACCCAGGATCCCCAGGGCAAGCTCCCACTGTAGGTGACAACACCCAGCTTCTGAGGCCAGAGGGAAGCCAGCCAGAGGGGGAGGATTTGGCACTCTATTCTCTGGCACACCTGCCTCCAAGGACCAGAAATTCTGGCATCTGGGACTCTCCTGAGCTGGATAGGAACCCAGCTGAAGAGGCTTCAAGCACAGAACCAACAGGAAGTTACAAAGTTGTAAGAAAAGGTAAAATGTTTTTGTGTCTGTTGTGTTCACACTTTTGCTGGGGTAGGGATGAGTGTTGCAGGCAGACACTTCTTTTCCCATCCTTCTCTTGGATACTGTGTGAGCAGGCATTGGGAACTGGGGGAGGAAGACATGTTGATATGAAGAGCCTTGAAGTCAGACAGACAAGGCTCGCTCAAAGCCCTGGCTTGCTACTTAATGTCTGTGTATCTTAGACAAAATTCAAAGCATATCTTATTTTCCTTCTGTAATATAAGAGAACATTTCGTAGCTCCCTCCTCAGTCAGCACACATCAACTTCCAGTAGAAGTTGCACTGATTATCTAGCCTAAATTAAAAATGTCACTTTTCTTCCCAGGAAACTCAGGCCTAGAAAGATGAGGACAAATGCCTGTTATTCCAGAAAGTGGCTGAACACAGAGGGGCTTAAGACAAAGTTGGGAAGACCTTTGGAAATGGGGGTGGTCTGGGAGCAAGTGCACAGAGTGGCAGAGAGGATATCCCAAGTTGGGGATACTATGAACAGCTCTGTGACAACTCCAGCCTGATTTGAATAGACCAGGAAGGCTATGGAGGAGGGAAGGCTCTCCTGAGGAGTGTGGCCAGAACAGTGATGCCTGGCCTGGGCCACTGGAGGCTGAGGGGCTTGTCTGACATCAGTCCCTTGTGCCTTTGTTGCCCCCTGCTCTGTTGGCCAAAGGCTGCCTCTCCTGGGCTTCTAGGAACTAGCCTGCTTCTGTTCTTCCAAAGTGACCTGGTGGGGTGTTCTCTGAGGCTCCTGGGACATGGCCATGTATGATCTTGTACTCACTTTGTTCTTTTCTTCCTTTATTCTTGTTATCCCCTGACATGTCCACTTCCTTCTTCCTCTCCTTCATGCTCTCTCTCCCTCCTTTCCCCTTGCTTTGTCTCTCAGTCTCTCTTCTCCCTGGTGGTGGTGTCGGTGCAGCCAAGGTGGCGGGCAGCAAAATTATCCCTGCGCTACCAGAGAGTGGCCAGTCAGAATCTGAGATATCTGAAGTGGAAGGCGGAGCACAGGCTACGGGTAATCAACTTCTCCTTGGAGCCAGAGCCAGGCCAGGCGGTAGCAGGGGTCCAGTGGGATAGAATTGGGCCTTGGCTGTCAGAGTTCTGTTATAAACATCCTGTGTGCTCCCTAAGCTGTCTGAGATGGTTGGGAAGTAGCACGTGAGCCCAGAGGCAGGAAGGAGACCTGTACTTCTATATCTCCCAGTGAGTGGCCACTCACTGGGAGATGTAGAGACCCACTGCAGAGCTTTCAGCCTATGCTCAGGAGAAAGCAAGACAGTCTGGCCAGTGCCCACACACATCCTGAGCAATCACTTCCAGCCCTGTCCACTACTCTAGCACTGTGTTGAGAAAAGGTTGCATGGCTTTGCAGGTTCCTTTGAGTTTCTCCATGGTAAAGGGGCTCTCCTTTACATACTTCTGCCAGCTATTTCTGACCTCCACAGCCCC